AGTCCTTTTGTGAAAATTAGATGAGTTTAATGCATGTAAATTGGCTTAGGAGAGTGTTTATGCAAAATGTACTTATTGGTGGGTAATATGGTTGATGGTATATATGTTCAGTGGTTCCCTGGATAGGCCTCACTACCTTCCTTCTTTCCCCCAGCATAGCTGTTTCGCAAACTCCCTTGGTTTATACAATTTTATAGCTCTCTGCTTCCCCTGCTGACATACTGTTGATATTGTCAGTGTAATGGTTCTCAGTTGCAGACAGTAACCTCCACTTCTTTCTGAGAAATACCTTACTCTACAGCCAGCTTGAAATGTGTATAGAAACTCTTCTAAAATCCCATGCTTCTGCATCTTGGTGAGTGCTGGTTCTTCCCTAAGCACACTGCCCTACTTCCCTGCCTATCTCCCAAACAGGCGCAACCTGAAATGCAGGCATTGTGTAACTACCTGTGTCCCCTCCACAAAATGGACTCTTCCAAAGCATAACCCTCCCAGAGCAACCTCACTTGTTCATCTTGCATCCATTTTCTGTGCTTGAACTTCTCCTACCACCTCTTCCCATTAGGTCAAAAAACTTGCCTTATTTGTCACTGCTTCTCACCAGCACACAAACAAATATCACAATCAAAAAACCTTTTCTCAAGTGCTTTTGCAGCCAGTGGAGACTCACTAGCCACCCTAGCCCAGCTGTGTTCTTTCTCAATTACTCCCAACTTTCTGCACTCACCTAACTGGCTTCCCTGGCCCAACTAAAGCTTACTCTCCATATTGCAATCAAAGTGCACTTTTATTGAAAAAAAAAATAGAATCTTGGCACCTCCAGCTTCAAACACTTTCATTCTGCTAACACTGCTCCAGGAAAGTGTAAACTCCTTAGTGTGGCCCAAAACCTGGTAAAGATTCCCCCTCTCAGATCTGTAACCATGTTGGTCTTTCAGTTCCTGTCACACATGCCAAGGTATCAAAAGATATATATTGAATATATTAATTCTAAAACTTTATATTTTATTCCATTTCTACCATTCATATTTAAGACATTCAATTATAGATGATAGAAAGAGAGATGATAGATAGATAGAAGATAGATAGATAGATAGATAGATAGATAGAGATAGATAGATGGGTGGTAGATAGATATAGATAAACAGACTCACAGCAAGGGTCTCTCTGAAATACACTCAGCAAGGCATTCTGATCCTTACCTTCAGTGCTCATGTCTGGTGTGGGCATCCAGATGTAGACCATGCCTTGTTCCTTATACAGCTTAATCATAGTGTCTGGAGTCATGGGTTCTGGGTAGCAGTTACAGCCTGAGGAATTCTGGACAATATCCCATTCAGTCTGGAAATTCATGACAGCTGTAATCCCCAACTCATGCTTCAGTTTGATGGTTACATGTTCCACTTGGCGGGGGCAGCTACCCAGCCAGATATTTGGTAGAATTCTATTGAGAACACATGGTGGTACACTATTAGTATTGTTGTTCTAAGTTGGGTTCCAAGTAGCTGCATAAAACATTTAGTATTAAAATACAATTAACTTCTCAATCTCCATAGGAAAAGCTGAATTTTTAAGGACATTGAGGAATAATATAATTATTGAAAGAAACAGCATGCTGGTGTTGCTGTTTGGTGGAAAACAATTAGCTAGAATGCCAAGAAATGGGCATTAGCAAACCAAATCTAGCAACATATTAAAATAGGTCACCCAGGTCATATTTATTCCATGAATATATAATATGCACAAAATTCATCAATTCATTTCAAATACTAGCAAATTAAATGTGAAAACTCCTATAATTATCCCAATAAATCTGAACAAAACATTGGCTAAGATTTAGTAGTCATTCTGTTTCAAGCTCTGTGTAAAAATTTCAAATAGTATAAGACCTTTCAAATATGCTAAGCATCAAAAACTGACAAACAACAAACTTCTATTAATAATGAAATGAAACTCCAAATTCATTCAATTAGCACCAAATCATTGTTCTGTATGTTTTCATCCAGTGCTACAGGTAAGAAAGAGAATGTCAACATTACCACCTGCAAAAAAGCAGTAACATTATCATGATTTTTTCAGATATTATTCTATACCTAAACTGAGCCCACACTCAGAGTTTCTAATATGGTAGGTCTGGGTTCAGTGTCTAAAACTTCAGATTTTCTAACACGTTCCCAGGTGACACTAACACTGCCAGTTCAGGGCTAAACCTTGAGAATCACTTGCCTAAGAGATTCAACTACAAAAGTTATGTTGCAGTAATTAAATTATTTAGATTAAGATAACTAGGGAGGGGAAACTATGCAAAAATCAAATGGCTTTTCTTTCTACTTGCAACAGCCATGAAGAAATGCAGGAAGGGAAAGAAATTTCATTCAAAAATAAGAAGGACTGGGGTGTAGCTCAGTGGTAGAACACATGCCTAGCATGCCAAGCCTCTGGTTTGATTCCCAGCACTACAAAAATAATAACTTATAAAACATCGTAGGAATACATTTAACAAAAAATAAACTTAATATAGAACATTAAAACTGGAACATTCTTTAATTGAAAGACTTAACATGATAATTGTGAACATCACAAAAATGTATCTTACCAAATTATATGTAAATTTAGTGAATTATTGTAATTTATTGCATAAATAGTATATATCATCTGTTCACTAATTATTTCACAGGTACACATACTCTCCGGTGGTAGGTAGTGTATTTCAAATTTAATTGAATGTCACCTACAACTTAACTCGGGTGATGACAGAGCATTCAGACAATAGGAATTATAGAACTGTGGTCCACATTACTGATGCTCACCAATATCACAACATCCCCAAGCACGGAGGACCAAGCTTCCCCTCTGCCTCAGTTTGGACTTGGTCACATAGTTGCTTTTGCCAATAAAATGTGAGATGAGGTATCACATGCCACTTCCTGTGTGGCATGTTAAAGACCATGTGCACGATCAATTCTCCATGATCTCTCTTCCCTGCTGTAATGATTATGAAAATGTGTGTGGATATTGAGCTTCTGGGAGACTGAAGAAAGCTAGATGTCACACTGCAGCGGGGAGGACAGCTGCCCTAGAGAGCTAGTGTTCAGGCAATTTTGACATTGTTTCTTACCACAGCACACATTTGTCTTGTTTTGACTAATACAATATATAATTAATTTCTTGAAATTCCTAACATTCTGGAAAGAAACAGGGCAAAAGGATTACATTCTTATTTCATTTTATTTATTATTATCGTTGCTGTTATTAACAGTACTGGGTTTGAACTCAAGGCCTCATATTTGCTAGGCAAGTGTTCTACCACTCGTGTCATGTCTCCAGCGCTTTTTGTGTTTAGTTATTTTTCAGATAGGGCCTTCTGTTTTTGCCTGGGGCTGGCCTTAGATGGGGATCCTCCTACCTATGCCTCCTGTGTAGCTGGTTATAGATGTGTCTCACCACACCCAGATCCTAGATTATTTGTTGAAATGGGTGGCCTTACTAACTTTTTGCCCAGGCTGACCTCAAACCACCATCATCCCAATCTCGACCTCCTGAGCCCTGGAATTACAGGAGTATGGAATCTTACCCAGATGGGATTACACTTCTAGTTACTTCCCTTCGTGTTGACTTTAGAGCAGTGGTTCTCAGTTGGGGCAGTTTTGCTCTACAGATATTTGGTAATAACTGTAGAGACATTTTGGGTTGTCACACTGCGGGGTGGTTTGTTCATCTAGCAGATTAAAACCAGGGATATTGTTAAGCATCTACAACATACAGCACAGGCTCCCACAACAAAGAACTATCTAGTCCAAAAATGTCAATAATGCCAAGGTGAAGATGCCCTGGTTCAGCAGAATAAAAGTGTTACTTATACAACTTCTTACATTTGTATTGAAGAAAGGAAAATGGAACAGGAGTAAGACCAACATATCTGACCCAGAAAGTTTGTGGGTCATCAGTTATGCTGTTCTGACAATATGATAGTCCGTGTCATAGTTTAACATACATATGCATTGATATAAAGGAAGACCACCAGAGAGTGAAGCAAAAGCCCAATATTTGGTAACTGAACAGCACAATAACATTTTTAGTGTGGTATATAACAAAGCCAATCAACACAGCCAGAAAAACCAAACTGAAACCGGTGGTAATTGTCAAATGTTAGACCAAGTTATTTTCCATCTCCAAGCTTTAGAGGGTCAAAAATAATTCACTCGAACGAATTTTGCAAGGTGTTAATAAAATTAGGGGATGTATTTCAATAGGACTGATAATATAGATGTGCAAGAAACACAAGTGGACTTTGTCACCTTCTAATCATTTATTTATTTTGGCAATCTAGTTTGCATCATATTATAGTAACTAATGATTCATTTTCCCTTGTCCTCCACATTCTTCCTTGCATGCTTCAATGTTTACAACACTCGACCCATGGCTTTGTAGTATAAAATCTAGCTTGGTCTTGTTTTTTGGTTTTTTTCTTTTCCTGTTGTTGCCATTGTTAATGTTAGAATGAGAACAATTAACTAGCCTCAATTGAGAGTATTACTCAGTCTTAGCAAGAATATCTCACCTTCCTCCAGTTCTACTAGCTAGCATTTGTTGCCCTTAACGCAGAGAAACTAAAGCAGATACTTAAAGCAACTGAGGCCAATAGGAAAAGGGGAACAGGAACTAGAGAAAAGGTTAGATCAAAAAGAATTAACCTAGAAGGTAACACCCACGCACAGGAAATCAATGTGAGTCAATGCCCTGTATAGCTATCCTTATCTCAACCAGCAAAAAACCCTTGTTCCTTCCTATTATTGCTTATACTCTCTCTATAACAAAATTAGAAATAAGGGCAAAATAGTTTCTACTGGGTATTGAGGGGGGGGAGAGGGAGGGGGTGGAGTGGGTGGTAAGGGAGGGGGTGGGGGCAGGGGGGAGAAATGAACCAAGCCTTGTATGCACATATGAATAATAAAAGAAAAATGAAAAAAAAAAAAGAATATCTCACAAGATGTAGCACTGTCTTTCTGAAGCCTGAGTACTACTTACTCTACAGAAAAACAAACAAAATAAACCTTCTTTTGGCTTAGATTATTATCTAAGGGGTTTTTAGAAATTTCCTTATGGAAATCTTTATTGAGGACTATTATGGGAAAAAATAAAGAAATTATAAGAGACAAGTTAGAAACCCAGGAAAGACAAAGTGCTGAAAGTAGGGCAGGGGATCTGAAGGCTTTTTCACTTTACTCATGACCCCAAAGAATTCTCAGATACTCCATTGCACCCAGTGGACTGAAAGACCACAAGCAAAGACACTTGCAGAGTACCCAAGAGCTGTTACTGACCAGAACACTGTTTAAATATTAAAATAAGTATTCATGACAGGTAAGTTAAATTCTAAATGCTACTCAGAATTCTCTTGAGTACTGTATTCACTAAGTGGGTAGCACTTAATAGTTAGTCAATAAATGCAAGAATAGCTAGCTGATTTTTCATATAAAATTTGCATGAAAGCTAAAGAAAGAATCATTCACAGAGATACAGAAATGATAAATTGGAACATTTGAGCCAGCAAAAACAAAAACAAAAACAGAGTCAGTATGTAGAATCATATGTTGTTGCTAAAAGAGGTATTATTCTGTCACTTCATTCAGCCCTGGTCTTCACATGCTTTTCAAAATAACAGGGGAACTCAAAACAAGTCAAGGATTTATAAATAGGCCCAAAGTTGGTGTCTTGTATACACACACACACACACACACACACACACACACACACACACACACATTATATAATACATATAATATGGGATTATATATATTGCATTTCTGATGGAAATAAGTCCATCACATATAAGTACCAGTTTCCATACCACATATTTCCAACTTGCTCATAACATATTTGACTCTTCCTCCATATAGACTAAAGGAAATGAGTATAAAATGATTCCTGAGGTTTTTGGAAGAAGATGTTATGAACCTAGGAGACAAATAAATAAAATCTGAAAGCAAGCATGGAAGTAAAGAATAGAGAATTAAAGTTTATAGTGAATCAGGATGTGGAGATAAAGACTGGACTTCTGGAAACACACACATCAGTGGATTCTGTTTAATCAGACAGCTGCAGGGCCCTTCCTATGCATCCTATTTTAGTTTTTTCTCCCCAATAGGTGATATATTTCTAGTTACATGACACACCAGAGGTAACAAAATGCACAATGTACTTTCTAAACAGTAATTAAACTTTTTCTTATCCATTCAAAAGAGAATAATTTGACACATTAAAAATTCATTTTTATTCATCTCCTCTAACTTCTAATCTTCTTTTGGTGTCAGTAGTAGTTTAAACAATTTTTATATCGGGATTTTAAGGTTAAAGTAAAAGCATGTTGAAACATGAGATTTAGAGAATAAAAATCCATTTGGGAGGTTTAATGTAAGACATACCAAATTTCAAAGATATAAT